GAGGTAACATTAAATATTTATCTAGAGCCCAAGTGTGTCTCTGACTGCGACCAGCAGCAGATTGCTGGGGAAGAGCATTAGAGCAAGGAAAACGTAATGACATTCTGCGAGCCTCCAGCAATTCGCAGCTCATGGATTCCTCAAGCCAGAGGTGGTAACTTTTAATAGCCCTTGGGGGATTTTTCTTTCTGTCAACTCCCTGGGCTTCTGAATCTCAGCTTTTATGGGCTTTAGGTGAGAAAACACAGCACGGCAGCAGTCTTACCCCCAGGCACAGACGATCATGATTCATGTGGAAACCTCATGGAGCATCTAAATTGGTACTCCAGAGTCGTCTGTTTTTCAGTACAGAACTACCAACCCATGAAAGGGAAGCAAGGAGAAAAAAATGCTGGCAGATATCAGGGTCTAGTTCTTTTTATCTTTTAAGAAGGTAAGGCACTTAAGAAAAGGTTGATGCAGCCCTTCAGCAAGGCTTCCAAGCTCAAATCCTGCCCCAGTAAAGAGACATAAGTATCACGCAAGTGACGTAACTCTTCCTTTCTTTCCAAAGATAAGCATGGCACTCACTTTTCTATTTTTTTTTTTCCACAGAACACCAATTTCCTAAGATGCAAAGGAGTGGGAATACAGATATCCTAGTTCTAAGTCTAATAAAACACGGTCAAAAAGTTGCCCAGAGAAGTCAGAGGCGCAGAGGCCAAGAACTGGTCTCTGATGGTTAGAAATGGTTACAAATCCACCTCACCTGTAAAAAACACTCACACAAAAGGAAGCATCCAGTACAAAATGCGCTGTGGAAAACTTTTAGCACAGCAAACTTACTTGCCTGGACTTCTTCGAAAGATAATTTATATTTGGCCTAATAAAAGTCTACAAAATTATCTATCAAAAAGAGACACAATCGATAAACGAGTTTCATGTCCCAGTGTCAGAAGATCCCACCCAGCAAAAAATACCAAGTTGTGCCAGGGTCCAGGCACCACATTAAATACTTCACATTTAATCCTAATCTGTGTGTAAAGAAGGGAAACTCAAGCAGAACTAAAATTAAAAACTCCAATAAATTATTAGTAAAGATATTTCAGTGAGCTTTCCAATACATTATACATTTTTAGAAATGGAAAGCTTATATTTAAAGGGCAGAAAGGAAGGAAAGAGACACATATGTTGGATTTGAATCCCCTTCTCCTTTAGTTTCAAATTATATATGATCAGAGGGCTCCCACATATAATCAGAATTTGCATAGCCATGTGGTGTCATTTAGCTAGTCTCAGTAAAAGAACGAAAAAATAGTTAGGCAAATACTTTTAAAAAATCTGAATACTGCAGAAGAGCTTTTTGATAAGAGATACTCTCAGCTCTACCGGGATTAAGGGGAAAAAAAATATTAATAATAAAAAGAGACATCATGGACCTTCACCAGAATTCAATCAGCACGATTATCCTAACCTGAACTTTTGCACAGCACTAAAACTTGCCCACCTTCATGTCACTCCAGGTCAGAAGTGGAAAATTCTCTCCCTGCTTTTCGGAAGTTTCGTATTCTACATCCTTTTCTTTGGAGACCCGAGGATCGAGATTCAAAGGAAGGGCTTTCACACGGAAGCGTACAAGCAAATGGAGTGAGGGAGCAGTGACGTAGCTGCCGGATCACCACGCAGGACTTTCCTGCTCTTTCCTTAATCCTCAGATCTTATTTTGCATTTATACCTGTCTCAAGCTGAATAGAGACTCATGTAGAGTTATTGCTGCCAGATGCCAAGTAACTGCTTCACCGTCCAGCTTTTAACAGAACAAACACCACAGAAACACGAACATCCCTCAGTATTTAATTGGGACACAGTCACACTGTCTGGAAACAATATCTGAATTATCATAAATCACAGAAACATCAAATCTCAAAGAAACAAGCACAAGTCGGTTGGATAAAGCTGTGGGTGATACCACATGTTGATGCTCCCTGAATGAAAGATTCCAAATACTTTTCCAGTTCTTGTGGACAGTATATACTAATTCACGGTGTTATGAAGCTTCCACTATCAGACTGAGATACTCTATTTGTCTTTTTTTTTTTACACTCTAATAAGATGGAAGCAGCTAAAAATTACCCCCTAAAGCCCTGTTAAATAGATTAACCAGCTCCAACTCACAGCACTGCCAACAGCCTTCTTGTGCCAGCTCCAGGAAAAGAAAAACCATCCTCTAATCTGATTTTGCAGGCTGTGTCACACGCCAGTCTGCATCCCGACGATGCTCCCTGGGATGAGGGGCAGCCTGCAGCGAGGGCAGAGTCCCCCCGCCACCGGCAGCAGCTGATGGCCCCGTGCTCGTACCTCAGTACGGTTCCTGCAACGCTCTCGCTATTACTGCCTGCGTCCTCCCAATTTCTTCCATCCTCTTGTCTCCAACCGGCAGCAAGGGGATTGGAGGCATCACTGCAACATTCATCTAAGTTAATACTAACAGGAAGAGTAAGGAATTTTCTAAAAGAAATATATTAAGTGGCAAAAGAAAGCTAAAACCAACTGCGTTCACCCCACATGCTAAGGCTACCCTCCACTGCTCTGGAACACACTTCAAGCTCAGAGCAATGACACAATATGGATCAAATGTTAAGTCGAGTGTTAAATGCCAACACCTGATTACAATTTACAATTACACAAAAAGTTTGTTCTAGAAAAAACAAAAGGACAAACAACAAAAATACACTAATAGCAGCAAATCTACACAGAGAAACCCCTTATTTTCAAAATTAGGAGCATATACACTGAAAGAGATTTCCTTAAGAGAAAGGTTTTCAGTGAAGCCTTCTCAAGCATATTAAATAACACCTCTCATTTCCATAAAGGCATTTAAGGTCTAACCGCAGTTCACACCCAAGCCCCAAGTGCTAATTAGCCTATGTGGAAGTCAGAAGCGGGTAAGCGCGCAGGCGGCACA